GCCCATTTTCTAAGATGAAATGCAGCTGCTGAACACCTGTACATTGCCAGTGGTCCAACTACACATTTAGGGAGGATCACAGATCTAGGAAGGCCGGCACTCCTGAGTGAGACACTATTAGACCAGTATGGACTACTGGCATACCTCTTCTTTGCAATTTTCCCCTTGAAATAATAAATCTCGGTGTGTATCTCCAGACACTTCTATTGCAACACCTGGGAAAATTCCAGTTCCTTGTTCTCCACAGTCACCACACTCACCCACAACTCTTCTGTACAGTTTTCAAGACAATTCTACTGCCCTCTGGCAGATTTTCCTGAACCCCTTCTTTCTTTTTTTTTAATGTTTACTTTTTAATTGTAGTTGGACACAATACCTTTATTATATTTACTTATTTTCATGTGGTGCTGAGGAACACATGCTAGGCGAGTGCTCTACTGCTGAGCCACAACCCCAGCCCTTCAACCTCTTTTTTCTATCTTAATAGAGGTGGCAATTCAACCCTTCCTCAAACTCCCTTACCACTTACTGCCTGCCTTGAACTTGTTTTTGCAAGTTCATGTTGTTCCTTTGGCTTGATTATAAGGTCATTTTTAAAGGGACTTGTCCTGCTCCTTATCCTGTTAGAGACCTATCATTATCATTGTTCCCAGTGTTCCCACATTGTCTCTCATGGATTTAGCATCCCATAAACAGCAGCTGAACACAAGGACTGAACTTGTGGGTTAACACAAATGTGTAGGTGAATGTGGGGGTGTGGAAAGTATTTGTACACATCATCGTCTTCTTCACAATCAATTTTTCTTGTACTGCTTAAGAAGGTATTCCCCACAACCAATTTTTCACATTTTTAATAGATTTTTTTAACCTTTATAATTTATTTAATTATTTTATGTGGTGCTGAGGATTGAACCCAGTGCCTCACACGTGCTAGGCAAGCGCTCTACCACTGAGCCACTACCCCAGGCCCTTTTCACACTTTTTTTGAGCTAGGCTTCACTTTCTGATAAATTGGGTATTTATTTGTTTAGGGTGTTGTTAACGTATGAAGATTTATCAGTGAAACTGATCTCTGACTTGGACTAAGTAATTGCCACCATCCACACAATTTTAAAAGGGAGTTGTATTTCATGGTGAACCACTTCCTTGCCTGACCTCCTTTACTGCATGTGATGGTGATTCCATTAGTCGAATTTGTCAGCATCCTCCCATACTCTGCCTGTCCCTAATGAATTTTGAAACCAACAGAAAATAGCCTCTAAATGACTGGACTACTCAAATGCCATAGCCCCTAGAGAGCCCTTTAAACCTGGACCCTTTTCTTCTTTAAAGTCTTGGTTGCTTTCTCAGTAAAACTTCCTGGGAAATCCAGGAAGTTAGAGAGGATTTCTAACCTAGCCTTTCCCTATATTCCAAAAGTAAATCTCTCCAAATAATTTTTCCTTCACTATTTTCCACTTACTACCAGTTCAGTGTTTCTCATACTTTTCCTCTTTCCTATAGAACCTTCAAGATTATTACTTTTTTGGTTTATCATCTATAATGTTTTTATTTAATCATCTTATTATTTCTTCTTTTTTACTTAGGTAGAGCCTCACCTTGGTTTCCCTACCTCACCCAAAGCTATGTAGAGTGGGGACAGTGTGGGATTTCTGAGCCCTTTTGATTTTTCCCTCAGATTCACCATCTGTAAATAGTAGTAGACCCAGAGAATCTGCCAACGTCCCTAAGAAGACCATGATATCTTCCCATTTTTCCTTTTACCAAGTCTAACTAGAAAACATCCTGAAATCGTGATCTTAGTATGTGGAGGTAACATAATCTCATTTCTCAATATAAGGAGAATTGATCTTCATTTTATTTTTGTTGAACTAGGCTAAAAAGTACAAAATGCCTTCCTTCCAATCCCTCCAAATTTACACACACACACACACACACACACACACACACACACCCCACTCACTCTCCCTAAAAATTGTCACAGTTATTGAAAAAAAAATACAGCTCATGATTAAAGTAGGGTGGAGCCATTTTCCCTCACAGCTCCAACTGTTTGCTTTGGTGATGAACTCAAGCTAGTAAACAACCTGAAGCAAAAGCTCAGCCTTTTCCTGAGCCAAATTCATCCACTTGGGACTGAGAATGCATGTTCATGTTTGCTGACACTGTTAGACAGCTTATGTAACAACGCTGCTGGGTAGTTTGACTATCAGGGATTTAATAACCTCCTTAGGACAGATTTAAATAAAACAGAATATTAAATTAAAATAATGAGCCGCAGTTTTGCAGAACTTCAAAAATCCCCAAGCCACAAACATCTCCACAAATGAGATATTTTAATTATACACTCATTCCTTTGGTTTCCCTGCATCGACGACATTTAGCATGCACGGTCTGGGAAAACACACTAAGTTTTCTCAGCAATGCAAAGTGATGAACAAGTCTGTTTAATTACATGTCACAGAAGTCTTTCTGAAATTTCTTCTTTATCTTTCATCCACAATACCTAGTAAAGTGATCGTCTCATTATGTGAACACAATGTTCACTGAAATAAGAATAAAATGTCATGAGGACTTACTGTTGAAATGGAATGTATCCAGTCCAGAGTGGGCACTAAATGATGGCAACCACTATTATCAGATTCAACAAACACTCACTGAACAGAAATATGATAGGTGGCATGGTAAATAAGGTAGACATTAACTGAGTTTGGAGGAGGGTGTCATGGTGGGGATTGAGAGAATCTACGCTCATGAAACTTTCAAGTAGAAATCAGAGATTCCAGATACCACTGGAAGGGCCAAGGGCAGGGAACCTGGCCAAAGACAAAATTGGGCATAGCCACACCAATGCCTCCAAACCATCATCCAGTGAGTGCATCAGAGTGCTAAAGCTTACGTGGGAGAACACTGTCTGGTGTTTTTCTTGACTCTGAGGCTTGTAATCCTCAGAGACTGCAAGTATATCATCTCTGGATCATCTCAGTGAAGGACTCCTGAATGTCACAAGACTTTGCAAAGCCCCATCCAAATAAGAAAACTGCTCCTTTTCCTCCTGTCTTTCAACAATCTTGTACTCAAATACCGCCTCCCTACCCCCAGAAGGGGAAGACTGACCTTCAGAGGGGTAGTGCAAAGTGAGGATAAGAGAGCCTGTCACCTGAATCTGGGTGGTACTAAATGATCAAGAAACTCTTGGCAATAATCTTGAGGTATGGATTCCAGATCTGCCTTTGCTTTTGCCTTTGTCCTGGGCAAGATATTTGACTTTTCTGAACTGCCTTTCCTTGTCTGAAAAGTTTCCTTCTAGCTCTTATCTAAACTGAAAATAATCCATTTAAATTATTTCCATTTCACTGTATAAACTGTTTAACAAATAAACATGGTTTTCATCTTTGTACTTCTTTTCCTACCAATATTAATACCAAAAGCTAACATTCATAACTTAGTCTTATTCTAAAGAATTTATCTGGGGCCACTTTGCCTCTGCTACCAATAAAAGTCTCAAGTTTATTTTTAAAAGTTTTAAACATGGTTCCTGGGGATAACTACTACGCTTTGTACATAATTTGGTATTAGTCATGTTGAATAAAATGACTGTGGCAAGAAATGAAAAGAAAAATGAAATTCTTGAAACCAGTATCTGTTTTAACACTCACTACCAGAATAGTTCACACCTGCCTTCTAGTTTTGCTCTTGAAAAACATATTGTATTGGCTTCTTCACAGACTCATGCTTCAGATGCCTCCACCTAGACCCTATGAGGTTTTGGACATGTGCCATTGTCTCTCAGTCTCCTCATCCATAAGTAGGTAGGATCGGGTCTCTAAAATCCTTTTTAGAGCTACATAGCACCCTATTGTCATCCACTTTTTCTAGGGGCTAAAATCAACACAAACCCAGAATGTATTCCCTAAACAATTAGCTTTTCTATTCATGATTCAGGACTAATGCCAAATGTCTTCTCTGTCTTTCAGACTCTCAAAAGGCTGGTAGTTCTCATCCCTGAGCTTCTCATTGTAGACTATGGAAGCGAGCTCACCTTTTAGCTTATTCATTGCCTCCTCAGGGTCATCTCTGCCTCGTGTTTACTTTCTCAGCCTCATTAACCCACTCAGTGGTGGATGCTCACTCACTGGACTTCACCTACCCAAGGCCCCAGTATTTGCAATAACCCATCCCGTCCTACACTTTTTGTCTTTCGGCGGCAGTGTTCTTCCAAGAGTGGTCCGTGACCACTTCTGGGTCGATGGTAAAAACTGCCGACTATCTAAGGACCCAAGCTAGATTTCGTGCCTGGGAACTTCTGGTGGTGTAGCGGTGCAGGCCGTGGTGGGGGGGCGGTTGTTCAACTAATGTTTTTAGTCATGCTAAGCATGAAACTTTGGAATTCACTGCTCTTTGGGGCAAATCTATTTTTTTTTATTTTTTTGCAATTTTTTAAAAAGGAAAAGGTGATAAATTAGAGACCTTTTCCAGCAACATAAGAGAAAATCATAATAGAAGGAAGAGCGAGTGTGGGGTTGTTCAAGACTCTGTTCTGGAACCTGGAAGTGCTGGTGTCTTCCGCCTGTCTCAACCACCTTGACCAAGCCCAGGTAGAAACTACTGCAGAGTAAATAAGAAATTAAATTCTTAAAAATAAATTTAAAAAGTGCGCTTCGCCCAATCTGCATGCTGTGAGGCTGTAAGAAGTCTGGATTCGCCCTAAAGGCCAATGCACCAGGGGGCGTCAGGACCGGGAGAAGCGTGGACCATCCCTCTCTTGCAGCCGAGACCCGAGGCTCCCAGAGACGCAAGCACTAGGGTGACCCTGGCGGCCCCGCCCCCCCGTTACCATTGGCAACGGCGGTCCGCGCCAAAAGGCAGCGTGGCATAAAAAGGTGGGACTTCCGGACCAAGAAGCTAATGCGCATGCGGATATCTGCCAGTCATAGGCACTTCCTGTCTCGTGATCTTGAGGACCAATGAACGTGCGTAACTGCAGACCACGTGCCTGCGTTCCTATTAGCAACCACAGGCTTCTAAACAACCCGTTTTATCTCCATCCTTTTGCGGTCCTGCGGATCTTGGTGATTTGGGGTTTAGCAAATCACCGCCTCACCTCTCTCGCTCCTTTAGGCTCCTGACCCCGCCTAGTGCCATGGTGAGTATCGGACCGGCTGGCGCGGAGGAAAGTGCCGCGGCCGGGCTCGAGACGCTGAGCGGGTGGGTCCGGAATGACGGTGTGTCCTCAGCTTGTTTGAGCCCAACTCCTGAGCCCGAGGAAGGGAGACTGCGCTGAGCGCGAGAGTCTCCGTTAACCTCAGCCCAAGCCCCTCCGGGGTAACCCTGAGTGGATCTCTATCCTAGCAGCCGCTCTCCGTCACGTCGTCCCTCGCTCCTGCCTGGGGAGATGCCAGGGCCAAGTCACAACTCAGTAGGTGAAGAGCCGCTCAGCGCCGGGTTTCCACACTATTCTAAGAAACTCCAGTTTACGCACACACACGTTTGCCAATATGGTAATTGAAGGAATCCAACTTTCTGATGTGGAATCTTCATCTTTAAGAATTCTAGCACTCTATTTTACAACTAAAGAAATTTGGGGTGACATTTCCTTTGTATTACCCTGTTCAAAAAAACCCTTAGGCTGGGACTGGAGCTTAGTGGTAGAATGCAGGCTTCGCATGAGTGAAGCTTTGGATTCAGTCCCCAGTATCAAAAAATAAAAAGAAGAAAATACCACTTAGTCCCTCCAGTAGGTATAACATGCCAATTAAATGGTATTTGTACTTAGAGCCGTGTACAGTTCTGAAGTTGAAGTGTTCAGGCAAAAAAAGGAGTGAAACCAGATTTGGGATTGCTGCTTAAATGGGCTACTGAAACACCTCAGCAGTCAGACTTCCTAGGTCGCCAAAAGCAAAAATAGATCATTCCTAATCATTCCTTACCCTTCTTGAGCTTACTCCTTCTCTTGATTTCCCTAAAATATTATGAAAGTGATTTGAAAAAATGTTGATGGTGATATCACAAAAAATTTGATTCCAGTTCATGTTCTATCTTCTATCTTTCATTTCTATCAATTCAATTAACAACCTAAGCTTTGAAGTCAGACTTAGGTTATTCATTGTAGATAATTCTAGGGTTGTTAACGTAATTGAAATAATGCATATAAAATAGTACAGTACATGCAAAAAATATTAAGCAGTATTTGACCTATCCTTGTCTGCTAGCCCAGCCTTCCTTACCTCTTAAGTATCTGTAAAGCTCTCATCTGTTTTAAAATAAAAACCAACTAATGCCTGTTTCCAAACTAAATTACACTTTTTAAAGCTGTATGCAGTGGGATAAGGTTAAGTTGCTAAAACAGACCAAAAAGCAATGTCTGAAAGAATTCAGAAGTTTTTTTTCTTTCTCACTTAGCATCATATTTCACTGCTCATTTCAGTGAGATGACTAGGTCAGTGGTGTTCCATGAGATGAGAACACACATCTCTTTCATCTTGCTGCCCTTCCAGCCCATGAGGTATTCATGTTGTCTGTAAGACTCTGTGAGGCACATGGGAAGCACTGGGTTTGATCCTTAGCAGCACATAAAAAACAGGCTTCACAGAAATAGGATGTTACAAAGATGTACCCCTGTCTTAAGGTCCATGCATTGGAGATAGCCCATATCTCTTCTGTTCACATCTATTCCTAAAAAGTAGTCCCATGGCTGCACTTGACTATAGGAAGGCTGAAGAAACATCATCTAGCTGGAGCAGTACTGCAGCCAGGAAGAAAGGAACAGCAGAATTTGAAGGACATATAGCAGTCTCTATGACAGGATCCTGTATATTTTCACTGTTGAGTTTTTTGGTTTTTTTTTTTATCAAATCTTCAAAACTATCAATTCAATTACTTCTCTCTTTTTCAGGCAGAGTTGGGCCTAAATGAGCACCACCAAAATGAAGTTATTAATTATATGCGTTTTGCTCGTTCAAAAAGAGGTTTGAGACTCAAAACTGTGGATTCCTGCTTCCAGGACCTCAAGGAGAGCAGGTATCAGGGAACTCTAAGGAAACCAAATAGGAATGTAGATCCTTTCTGGTAGCCATTATGGGGATGCTGGATCATGACAGTTCTAGGATTGTCATGATTAATTATTCAGATGAGAGCAGCTATGCTGAAACTCCTGGATATACAAAGTATAGAAATTGTAGTGTGATGTAAACAGTCAATCTATCAAACATGCACATTCTGATGATTATGAGATGGCAAAGTTTCTGACAGGTAGGCATGAAACTGTGATGGGCTTGTGAATTAACAATAAGATTCTGTAACTTTATTTATGAGGTTGGGGTAGTAGCTCTTGGTCTTGCTGAGAGACTGAGGGTAAGAGACTTTGGAGTGGGGAGGACTGTGTTACTGTGAAACTGTCATTGGCACTAGAAAGCATACACAGAAGCTTTTCAAAGACACAGTGTCAGTCATTTGCTGAGATTTCTGAGAATTGTTGTGGTTTTAGTCACCCCCAGTGGGATCATAGGCAGGTCTTCCCACTCTCCCAGCCTTGTGCTCCTCTCTGTGTAATTAGGGGATTGGAGAAGATGATTCCCTTCCAGACCAAATATCTCTGAGTGAAAGTAGATTTTTAGTGCTATTGTCAATGGTGATGTTCATTGCTAAGAGAGGGCTGGGGTGGTGGCTCAGCAGTAGAGCGCTTGCCTTGACATGTGGTGAGGCACCACATTAAAATAAATAAATAACAACCAATAAAAAAATTTATAATAATAGAATTAAAGGATTAAAATTATCTAGTATCAAGGAATAAATGAAATTTGCTATGAAAACCAACATTTCTCTCACTACATTAAGGATAAAAGTTGAAGAAAATCTAGATGAATTAAATGATATACTATTTTTCTCTGGAAAAAAAAAAAAAACCAAAAATAAATAAATAAATAAATAAAATAGGAGTATTGAGTCCATCTATGACTAAAAAATATTTTTTTAAAAAGAATGCTAATGGAAGCAATATAAAATACCATTTATTTCTTGAAGGCACTTACCAACATGTGACCAACATGTGACTAGTTCATATGTTTATTAAAATGCTAGAGAAATATTAGGAAAAAAAGGAGAAACTAAACCTTCCGAGTAATTTTTGAGATTATTAAATGTAAGTAAACTAATTGTAGTGGAGATTGAAATAGAAAACATTTAGATATGTCAAGAGCATTGTAATGTTTTGAGCAACCAATAAAAAAGATGAAAAAAAAAGAAATAGAAAATATTTAATATTAAAAAATTAACAAAAAAAATATATGATGATTTTGGAAGTGTTTCTCAGACTATTTTTGTATTAACAGATGTGAAACATTTGAAGAATTAAGCCAATTTAATCATTTAAGTAAATATCAAAATTTGAATTTAAATTATTCTTAATCTGTTGCATTAACAAAGAAAAGAGTTTCTAGAAACATTTTCATTATAGTCTTTAATTCTTTAGGTAACATTGATGTGGCTTTCTTAATTTTGTTGCATTTTGTAAATTGTTTTGTTTATACAGAAGTTTCAGATCCTTGTTGTTTTTCAGGCTTGTAGAGGAGACCTTCACTGTGGATGAAGTGTCGGAAGTCCTGAGTGGGTTGCAGGCTGTGGTGCATAGCGAGGTGGAGTCTGAGCTCATCAACACTGCCTACACCAATGTGCTACTTCTGCGGCAGCTGTTTTCACAAGCTGAGAAGTGGTATCTTAAGCTACAGACAGACATCTCTGAGCTTGAAAACAGGTGATAAAATTTGTATCTGCAATTGAGATGGTAGAGTCCCAAGCATAATCTTAAAAGCTAGTAAATATCTATGCTGCTTATTTTCTTTGGGCTAGAGTGTGAGAAAATTTGGGTAGGGTAGCAGCAAAGCATCTGGACACTGGGTAGTTTTCTTAAATACCACTCGGTGTTCTTTCAAAATTCTGTTTGTACTAGGTACTACAAAGGCTTTTGAGATTTATGAAATTGCTTCCCAAGCTACCATTAATTATTTTTTGTGGAATCTTTGTTAGCTTGCTTAGTATTACAGTTGGTCATTATCGCTAGGTCAACAAAGAAATAGAGATTATGAAGCGTTCAAAAATTAATTCTAATATGATAGATACCATTGATTCTTTTTTTTCGGGGGGGAGGGGTTCCGGGGATTGAATTGACCACTGAGCCACATCCCCAGCCCTATTTCATATTTTATTTAGAGACAAGTTCTGTCTAGCCCATCGCTTTTGCTGAGGCTGGCTTTGAACTCACAATCCTCCTGCCACAGCCTCCCAAGTCACTGAGATTATAGGCATGTGCCACCTCGCCCAGCACCATTGATTCTTACTAGCAGCATTACAAGTTAACCTTAAATAAGAAATATAAAACAGTTTATAATCCTAACAATATTGAAGAGCTCATTAATTTCAAAAACTGTAGAAAAATCAATAAAGTTGATACTTTTTCTAAGAAAAGACATCCTACAAATGAGGAGGGACTGACCACCCTGAAGCCTGCTCTCTAGGCAGAGTGGCATCATGTTTGCGCATATGGAGTGTGTCGAGCAATGCTAAGAACATCTTGTGGCAGAGAGGGAAAGTCATTTAGCTTCTACAACTGCAGAGGGTGTCTGATGAGAAAACTCTTTAAGAAGCTGCTGTTTTATGACGCTTAGAAGTGTGAGCTGTAAGTGTGTTACAGTCAGCTCTTCCTCATCTTGTAGCTCAGTAGGTGGCTCACCCCACGTCCCCTATCTTTCCTAGGAATACATAGTTCTCAGCTTCAGTAGATACTGCAGACTAATTTCATTTTCTGAGGCTGCTTTGTTAAAATATCAGTTTGCCTTTCTTAGCTAACAATGTATTCTATGTAATAGAGCAACCTCCTCATAGAACCTCAGAAATAGAGACAGGGAGAAAAACAAATTTCACTGATGTTTATATTAACATTGCAATTTACTTCTAGCAACATATATTGTATCCCTAGCAGGTACAAAATTTGAGTGCGTGTTGTTTGGATTCTCAACCATTTGTAACTAAATCTCATTTCTGGTGTTGTAAAATTTTGTCCTTCTTGTGCTCTTTTCTCTAGCGTATGATAGCTTGGTACCAGTGATTTTATTCTTTTCTCTGATATAAATTTATTCTAAATGGATATTCTTCTATTTTTGCTTTTATCCTCAAGAGGATTATTAGAACAAGTTGCAGAATTTGAAAAAGCAGAATTTACATCTTCAAATAAAAAGGTAATTTTTGGTCATCCTGAGTCCATATCTTAATAGCTGGTATTCAAAACTCTCAAGGCACTCAAAGCATTCAGAGGTCAAAGTGAAAACTCTCAAGGGCATAACTGGAAAAACTGCTTTTGTCTCTTCTGCCCCCCATCCACACACACTCCCTGCTCAGTCCAGCTGTGTAAACTCTTCACTCAGCTGATGCACAGTGCAGGGTTGGGGATGAGTCAGACCTGAGCTCATATTCCTGGCTCTGCCACTCCTAGCTGTGTGACCTTGAACAGGTTTCCTGAGATGACTGAGTCCCATCTGTCACATGGAGACAATACTAGTAGTTACTAACTTGTCTTTTTAACATTCTCAACATGTGCGATGATCATTCACCATTCCCTTTCATAGACATACCAAAAACACTCTCTGTTGTCAGATTGTTAACACAGCTGAGATGAGTCAATGGACATACCCTCAGAAAACATTTTTCAGTGTTTTCTTTGGAACATATTTATAGCTAAGAAATTTCTGGGTCAGAGGACATGGATGCTTGTTTTTAATACATAGTACTAAACTACCATAATATTCATTTCCAGTTGTTGTTCATCTATAGTGTGATGCCTAAATTCTTGGCAATATTACTGTTTTTCTTTAAATATTTTTTAGATGTAGATGGGCACAATACCTTTATTTTATTTATCTTTTTTTAAAATGTGGTGATTAGAATTGAACCCAGGGCCTCACATGTGCTAGGCAAGTACTTTACCACTGAGCCCCAGCCCCACCCCAATATTACCGTTTTTCACAGTCTGAGGTTCATGCAGAAATCAATTTTAGCTCCCACAGATAAAAATTCTAGTCCCTAGATGCTAGGACCTAAATCAGGTCTGGCTTTTGTCTCTTTCCCTCCTTTCTTTATTTTTAAAAGCGGTTTGTGGTGTCTTAGGCCCTGAGATATAACAGGTGAACCCAGTGAGAATCCCCACACCTATGGTACTGGCATCCCTGTGCATATGTTCATACACAGTGCTCACTGAATAGATGTGGTTTATTCTGTGCTGAGTTTGTTTGGTTTCTTTATTTTGTTTCAGCCCATCATAGATATTACAAAACCAAAACTTGTTCCAATTAACGAAGTTGGGACAACAGAACTCCTAAACAAGGTATGTTGTCAACATTTTGAACAATGGAAAAGCTCTAATTCTGTTCTCCCTTTTCCTGAACAACTCTAGGGAGAGAACAAAGGACAGGAGATTGTCTCAGAGTCTGGTCCATTGAGGGTAACTAGCCCTTCCGCCTTTCTTCATGGTACCCAGTGGGCCAGAAGAGGGCACGTCCACCTTCCAGAGCATGTGTCACAGCTCTTGAGCACACCTTTCTGTGGCAGCATGGAGAGTGTGGGACTGTGGACAATGTTTACTGACAGACATTTAGACTTTTTGATCCATGATAACAATGAAGGATTTTTTAAATGTTTTATAAAATTTGTCAGTATACAAATAGATATTTTTCACTTCTCCTGTATTCTCAACATTATGCTAGATGTTAAAGTTTTTTTTTAATATTTACTTTTTAGTTTTAGATGAACACAGTATCTTTATTTTATTTTTATGTGGAGCTGAGAATCAAACCCAGTGCCTCACGCATGCTAGGCGAGCGTGCTACCACTTGAGCCACACCCTCAGCCCCTAGATGTTGTTAAAGATTTTAAAAAGCAGTATAATATTCATCCCTCACTCTCAAAATGCCATAGTTCCTTGGGAGGGTAGAATTTATATTCCAGAAGGAGAAACCAAAGGATTCTCCTGTGTGCTGTGGGCATCATCGGGTAGCGGAGAAGCCATAGTTCCCCGTGGGTGAAAGCAGGCACTTGGGTAGGATGGTGCCTGAGCTGGGCCTTGAAGATAAAGACAGATTAAATTGTCAGAGGAAGAGAAACAGGACTGTTGATCAGGGGAACATAATGGTCAGTGATGAGAGGCAGACAGGCTGGCAAGACTTGGAACAGAGTGCCCTTGGATGGATCACACAGGTCGGGTATAGGGGAAAGACAAATGATAGGTGGCTGTTCGTGTTGGAGCTGCATAAGAGCAAAGGTGCTCAGCCTCAGGTTGGTCAGAAGCATTTGAAGACAAGGCTCTGAAATGATGAAGATGGTGTTTTCAGGGTAAGTATACAGTGTAGGCCAAGAATAGACCCTTGAAGGATTGGCCAGCTGAGAGGGGAGGGGCTCTGGAAAATGGCTGTGGATAGAGGGTGGAAGAAGGAAAGGTGTGCCTGAGAGAAAAGGAACTCTTAAGTCTTTGAGTCAAAGCTAACTCATAGGTATTGAGGCTGGCGAGCTGGGTGAAATTGGGGTTCTGCTGCTAACTGGTGCATGTGGATTTTTGAGCTATTATGTAATTTCAATTTAATTTAGAAATTAAAAATTTAAGTGAAACAAATAATAATTCCAAATGTTAAAAATATTTTGATTAAAATAATAACTGTCAAATTTACTCATAAAGGAGATTTTGAGACTTCAAGAAGAGAATGAGAAATTGAAGTTAAGGCTGAAGAACATTGAAATTCAGGTAAGTGAGAAATCCTTTAAAAAAATAATTGAGTTCCTTACACATTAAATACTGATGAGTTCTACTTAAATTTGATTATAGGCTACAAATGCATTGGATGAGAAGTCAAAACTAGAACAAGCACTACAAGATTTACAGCTTGACCAAGGAAATCAAAAGGTGAAACAGTTTTAGCTTTCTTTTTCACATTTTCTAGATAGACTAAAGTTATAAATTTAAAATTAAGTCTAGTCCTTATTCATTATACCTTACCCCTATCCCTGCCACTAAGAAAAATGCCACCGTTGTCCTGTAAGGGAACAGCCTTGCCCAAGAAACACCAAATGAGAACAAGCACTCTTCCCTCTGTCCATCCTTGGACTAGTGTGACAAAATCAAGTCAAATTAATTAGTGGTTGAGTCTTGCAGGAATTGAGGCTGGTGGGCTGGGCGAAATTGAGGTTCCATTGCTAACCAGCACATGTGGATTTTTGAGCTCTTATGTAATTTCAATTTAATTTAAAAATTTAAGTGAAACAAATAATTCCAAATGCTAAAAAAATTTTATTAAGTTAATAACTGTCGAATTTACTCACAAGGAGATTCATCAAATCAAATTAATTAGTGGTTATGAATCTTCAAACCCATATATTCAGCTGCATTGTATAGTGCAGTGAAATTCAGGTTGAGCCTGCAGGCTTGGCTGGGACTGATGACTGAATGTTGCTCCCCCTGCTGGAAGTCAGGTGTGCGTTCTGTTTCCCGTGTGAATGCTGTAATATGATTTCATGTGAGTGGGACCTTTTGGGTGAATGCTCAGTGCAGTATTGGCTTTTCTGGTGGTCATATTGTTATTATGAACATCTGCTACATTTACCATCCCAAATTCTACTTTACTGAGAAAGAGTAGTTCAGGGAACCCCTATGTACCCACCACTCAGCCTTCCCAATCATCATACATGGCCAGTCTGGCTTCATTTCTATTTCTATTTTCTTTTTCCTCCCTCTCTTTCTCTTTGATGCAGATCTCATACATTTTTGTATTTGTATGAGTGTATATTTTATAAATGGGAGGGTATTTTGTATATGGTTTTATAAAAGGAAAATATGTATGATTTCAACCATGCCAAGAACCATAGATTTATAAAATAGAGCTGAGTGTTCCAGAACAGCTTCATAATTTCTCAAAAGTAAAAACGGTTTCAAACATTCTTGGATGATGAATTTGTTTAAAAACCATTTCCGGACTTTGCTTCACTTTGTTTTAAGATTTTGGACACAACAAATAAAATTTTGGACACGAGCAAAATGGATATATGCATTTACAAGTCACAATGAAATAAAATATTTTTAAAGATTAGGTTTCAAAAGTGAGCAAAGACTTTTTTGCTGAAAAGACTGCTTCAGATCTATATATTTAGCTATCATAAACCATTTTCCTATTGTATCAATACAGATCATTTTTCTGTCATGAATTTTGTCTAGTCAAAAACAAGCTCCAAATGAAAGCCATATTTCTGTTGTCAGATTATGTAAAAATGTACATAGCTCATTAATATAAAAAACTCAAAATCTTGTAAATTAAAAAACCCATGTATTTTATCAGTACTCATTTTGTTCTCATATTTTTGTAAATAATGACTAAAGCATATCTACTTAATTTTTTATCTTGAGTTTTTAAATATTTTTTCCACGTATACCCTTTCGAAGACTCAAAAATCTTCAGGATTTTGGCTTTTCATAATGAAAGCTATTTGCCATCTCAACTCTGGTATGCACCGCACTGCAATTTTGAAATCTCATTCTCCCATTTCTTTTGGACTGGAATCCCAGCAATTCATAAAGCATATTTTCTGTATTTGGAATTCAGTGACTTTGGAGTGTCTGCTATGTGCAAGAGGTCACACCCTTGAGCTGTGGTGGATGGACTGGGCCTGCTGGCAGCCCAGGCCAATGGAAGGCTGCATCCGCATGCACACACATCACACACGGTCTCTTCTTTCCTCTCCTTGACATTGAATCACCATTCTAAAGCGGTTATTATTTAGGATGCCAACATGAAGCTACATTCATGTATTTCATTTTTGTAGGATTTTATAAAGGCCCAAGACTTGAGTGACTTGCAAAACACAGTTGCTGCTTTAAAGAGTGAGTTTCAGAAGACACTTAATGACAAGACAGAAAACCAGAAGTCCCTGGAGGAGAATCTTGCAACAGCCAAGCACGACCTACTCAGGGTTCAGGAGCAGCTGAGCATGGCTGAAAAGGTCAGAAGACTGTGTTTAAGGGATTGTCTGTTCATGTCATATTAGCTGATAAACAGTGTAGAGGACACATTCAAATTATTTTTACTCAAGGTATTAGCAAACACATGGGCCAAAGGATTATCACTTCTGGGTATTGATATTCTTCCGTCTGTGGTGCTAAACTATCTGTGATAATGAGCAATCTCCTCTCCTTCTATGGGCTGGGAAAATGGTTGTCCTCGTGGCTGCATCTCCCCTTGCCCCCTGCATCATTTGGCTTGGTCCTCCTATAACCTGACAGAAGGACCAGGGATTTTTTTTTTTAAGGTTTCTGTACCTTTTTAATATTTATGTGAATATGTAGAGAGTTAAATTCTTCACTTTAGAGATTAGACTCTTAAGAATATGGAACTGGGGCTGGGGTTGTAGCACTTGCCTAGCATGCATGAGGCACTGGGTTCAATCCTCAGCACCACGTAAAAAAAATAAAATAAAGGTATTGTGTCCATCCACAACTAAAAAATAAAAGTTAAAAAAAATATATGGAACTAAAGTTTAATTAAATTAAATCCTCTTTCTAAAATACTGATATTACTTTGGGATTTGAAAAAGATTGTTTTATTTTTTAAAAAAGATTCATTTTACCTGAAAATTGTTTAATATTTCACATAGATTTCTCATGCCTCGGTGAAGAATACTTGAGTTATTTGCTAACATTTTACTTGGGAAAATAGTACTTTCTTGGCTTCTTATTTGAAATAATGTTTTTAAAGTTTGGATAGTCTTCATTTTACCTAAGTTTCTTTTGTTAAGGAAATTATATAGTAAGTAAATTTGAAGCAAAAAACAAGCATTTTCATCCCATTTGCTATGCTTTCCTTAACTATTTCTTAGTAATGGGCTGATGTTTTTCACTAAGCAGGAATTAGAGAAGAAATTTCAACAAACAGCTGCTTATCGAAACATGAAGGAGATTCTCACCAAGAAGAATGACCAAATCAAAGACCTGAGGAAAAGACTGGCAAAGTAAGCCAGGCCAGTCCCACCCTCACCTCTCTCCCCTGGGTTGATATTTGTCTTCTGTTAAATTTGAGCTGTGTCCAGAAGGCTCAGGTGAGAGGGTAGATGTTCAGTCCTTTAGTCCAGAGGCCTTCTTCTGTGGAGCTGGGTCCGACCTTGTCCCTAAGGCCACCAGTACTGCTGCTTAGGTTTAGCCAGACCTTTACACACACATGAAGCTACATGGAGATGCTCTTGGCACTGCAGCCACTTAGCAGGACATGGGCAGAAGCACAGCAGCTACAAGGCAGTGGGCATCTCTACGGTGTGTCCTCCTGTCCACGTGTAGCCTCCCAGCTGGGGTCAGTTCTGTCAACAGCAGTTTTGCCTAGAAACTCAGTTAGCATTTTGCCTTTTTCTAGGTTCCAGGGAAGAGAACTAGAAACTCAATTTAAGACCAGGTTGGTCCTTTAGAAAAGGAAATTTATTAACCCTTCACTCACATAGTCACATCAGCTCTTGGTATTGATCTGAGGATTGGATAATTGTATCAAAATATTGTAGAGACCTGGAGTCTAAAGGGACCTTAGGTTTTCTGTGGCATAAATCCCTAGGTGACTGTCATAATGCCTTGAAAGCACCTGACCACCACAGTGCTGATGACAAATGAGGAATGATTTTCATCCCTGGAGATGCTTCAAGTGACCTCGTTTGGTAATGACAGCATCACAACAAAAAATGTCTTTACACACTCTTAATTTATATCTCCAGGTATGAGTCAGAAGATTAAAAACTGAAGATTTCCAGATACTGCCACAACATGAACAAACCAACTGCCTTCCACCTCAGGCATGGATTCTGAAGCATTTCATCATATCCCCTCTCCCTGTTTTTGTAATATTATACTTTGCTTATGATATTTTGAACTAGAATCCCTATTTTCAGTTGTCCAGTGGAGACGAGAAGAAATGTAATGGCTCTGGCCGATTACCCCTGCCCAGTGAGCACTCTGCCAAGCTCCAGAGGCGTAGTTCAAATACAGTGGGAAACATTGACAGGAGGAAGATTTTTAGAGAGGGAGGAACGAGTCTTAGCCTTTTACATTAGCATAAAAACTATATCTTTTTAATGAATTTAAGAATAAACAATAAACAATAGTTATTAAAGTTAGTTATTACAAATAAACTTTCTTTTTATTATTAGTGATGAAATCTTACTTCATTTACTCTATTTGATCAAGAAATGTATGAATTCATTGAAAATGTGAATAGTAACTGAGGCAGCATTTTCACCCATTGTAAGAAAAATTATCAGTAGTGGACATGAGGGTTTGGTTAACTTTTCCCATCTTCCTGCCTTAAATATTGTTTAAGAGGAGATGCCGGCGTGTTTTGGCATCTTGACATGGTGATTTTATGCTACTGATGGAGAAGTCAGATCCATCCCATACTACATTTAGAAAGCATTTGGACTTGGTGTCAACGTAATTGTTACTTGTATTTCCAGAATATTATTTTAATTACATGTAAAATAAGAACTCAATTTTTAAGAGTTAAATTCAATCACCAGATTGCAGATTGGATTTTGGATGATAATTTGCGCTTACAGCAATAGCTTTTTCAAGAGGTTTTAATGCATTTCTGTTATGGTTTAGATATGAGGCGTCTCCCAAAAGCGTGTGTATGAGACAGTGCAAGAGAGTTCAGAGGTGAAATGATTGGGTTATGAGAGCCTTCACCCAGTCAATGTGTTAATCCACTTGAATGGATTAACTGGGCAGTGACTGTAGGCAGCATGACTTGAGGAGGGGATAACGGGGGTGCCTTTAGTGTATATATTTTGTCCCTGGTGAGTAGAGTTCCCTCTGTCTCCTTGTTGCCATGTCTTCTGTCACACCCTTCCTCTGTGATGTTCTGCCTCACCTCAGGCCTGGGCAATGGAGTTGGCGATTTGCAGACTGAGACTTCTGAAACCATGAGCCCCAAATAAACTTTTCCTCCTTTATGTTGTTCTTCCACAATGGCAAAAAAAAAAAAAAAAAAAAAAAAGAAACCTGACTAAAACAATGTTCATTGGTCCTGCTTTTTTTCAGGTGTTTTGGATAAGTCACTGGAAATGGGCATCCCCCTGCAGTTGTGTAATGCAGAAGTACACTCTAAGAATAAATAAAATGAAGCTCACAAAACAGTAATGCTTCAGAAGAAAGCACTTGGTAACTTAGTAATTTTTCCCACTTCCAAAGACAAAAAGTGTCACATCTTCCATTAGTACAGCTGCTTGAGAAGCCATTCCCCTTCCACAGGTGAAGATCTTATTCCCAGAGAAGAGCTACTGGTCAAAGGATGATTCTCCCTATTTTTATTCAAACTTTTAATGTCAGCCTTGAATTCATTATTTTTCTTGTAGGTTTTGTGTTAAGATATGAAAGGAACAAATGATAAAAGCACAAGATAACTGCCCTCCCGCCTCCCAAGAAGGGGGAAGGCAGTCTTAAGAAGATGGACGAAGCAGAGCAGGGGGCGGGGCAATAACAGTTACAAGGCAGCTGTTACCGCCAGTTCTTTGCCTGTCTCTCCGTGGTGAAGTTCCTCTCAATATCTCCTATAGGGTGTTCACTGAGGACTTCCATCTCACCCTGTGCTGACTTAGCTCGAATTGGTGTCCCTCCAAAAGTCCATTCCATTATTTGTGGACCAGTATCTTCTGTATAATTCAGAAGCAGAACTTCCAACTAATGGCTAGTGTGGCCTTCAGAAGCCATTTAATTTTTTTCTCTCTACTCCTTTCTCAGTCTGATGCCAAGAGAGAAAGAAGGTATGTTGAGAAACCTACCTTGCTAAGTAGAATGTCACCCTGAGTTTGTTTGGTTTTTTTTTTTTTTTAATATTCTGTATATTGTGTTCCACTTGTTCAATAATAAATTCAAAATATTTCTGAAACCTTAAAATCTAACTTACGCCAGAACATAGCTAAACCAGTGTGCACTTTGGTGTCACTCAACTTTATCCTTGCACTTGACAAGCACGTTTTAGTGCTTCTGGTTTTGTTTTTTAACTCATATCCCTCAGCAAAATGTAGTTCAAAATTCTTGTTTCTTTTAGTAGTTCCCAGCGTTAAGATTTATCTCATCTAACTGGGAAAGAAAGCCTTTTTATTCTATAAATGTTGGATCTCTAAGAATGTTGGTTCAAACCTCAAGCAAACTTTCAATGTGGAAAGGGCACAGACAGCCTGTGAGCTGGTGGCCGTCAAATGCAACTTTAATTTAAAATTTCAAGGCTTCTGCTAAATTGTGACTCAGACTTTTTGTTGACAGTAATGAAATGTTCGACATAATTTTTATTATTACATTTTCAGTATTAAATGTCTTTTTTAAAAGAGAGAGAGAGAGAATTTTTTAATATTTATTTTTTAGTTTTCGGCGGACACAACATCTTTGTTGGTATGTGGTGCTGAGGATCGAACCTGGGGCCGCACGCATGCCAGGCGAGCGCTCTACCACTTGAGCCACATACCCAGCCCGGTATTAAATGTTTAAATGATCATTTGCTTATATCATAAATTCATAGGGAAAATATTACTGCACATTAAATATGCAATTTTATTTGATGCAGCCTTTGCAATTTTTTATTTTCATTCTGTTCAACTGAAAAGAATTTTATAAAGATGTTTAAATTTCAAATCCTTGGGTTACAAAAACTTGACATTAATGATTTCCCTCTGCTGATGTGTAAATGCCTGTGATCAAAATTTTGCTATTAGAAATTCAATTACATGATTTATCTCACATAAGTCTTAGAAAAGCTATCTCAGCTTTTGGTATTTCATATTTAAATAAAATCGTATTTAGACAAAACATTTTTCAACACCTTTTAGAAAATAGTTTCACTGTTTTCTGAAGGGAAATATCATATTTATGAAAAGGTAATAGCTTCTACCTTGGAGGATAAAGATAGTGGAGTGGGGACAACTGGCTGGGTCATTGGGGGGAACCACAGCATTGTTTGACACTGTTATCTGTTCTACCAAGAGAGCATCCTGCTGCAGTACCACCTACTTGAGAATGTGACTTAATGATAAGAGTAGTCAATACCTTGCATTATATAAAGTGTCACTTCCTCCTTTTGAACCTATAAGATATACATCATTTAACTTTTACAGATTTAAAACAACAACAACACTGCCATTAGATGAAGCAAAATCGATTAGGGCCTACTTTTTCTTCTAACAGACCCAGAGTCTCAGGTTTAATTCCTAAGTCCTTGATCCACTTTGAGTTTTGTGCATGTGAGAGATAGGGGTTTGATTTCATTTTGTTACATATGGATTTCCAGTTTTCCCAGCACCATTTGTAAAAGAGGCTGTTTTTTCTCCAATGCATGTTTTTGGCACCTTTGTCTAATATAAGATAATTGTAATTTTGTGGGTTAGTCTCTGTGACCTCTATTCTGTACCATTGGTCTACCAGTCTGTTTTGGTGCCAATACCATGCTGGTTTTGTTACTATTGCTCTGTAGTATAGTTTAAGGTCTGGTATAGACATGCCACCTGCTTCACTCTCCCTGCTAAGAATTTCTTTAGCTACTCTGGGTCTCTTATTTTTCTAAATGAATTTCATGATTGCTTTTTCTATTTCTGTGAGGAATGCCATTGGGATTTTGATCAGAATTGCATTAAATCTGTATAGTGCTTTTGGTAGTATGGTCATTTTGATAATATGAATTCTGCCTATCCAAGAACAAGGTAGATCTTTCCATCTTCTAAGATCTTCTTTAATTTATTTCTTTAGGGTTCTGTAGTTTTCATTATATAGATCTTTCACCTCTTTCATTGATTCCCAAGTTTTTTTTTGTTTCCTGAGGCTATTGTAAATGGGGTAGTTTTCCCCATTTCCCTCTCAGAGGACTTGTCACTGATATACAGAAATGCCTTTGATTTATGGGTGTTGATTTTATATCCTGCTACTTTGCTGAATTCATTTACTAATTCTATAAATTTTCTGGTGGAGCTTTTTGGGTCTTCTAGGTATAAAATCATATCAGCAAATAGTGCTAATTTAAGTTCTTCTTTTCCTATATGTGTCCCTTTAACTTTTTTCGTCTAATTGCTCTGGCCAGTGTTTCAAGAACTATGTTAAATAGAAGTGGTGAAAGTGGGCATCCCTGTCTTGTTACAGTTTTTAGAGGAAATTCCTTCAGTTTTTCTCCATTTAAGTTTTAAAAGTAGCAGTGGACCTTCTGTCAGATTAACATTTTATTAGTTGAATTTTCATGTACACTTGGAAAAGAAATGTACTCACTAGGACCCAGCATGGATCTCTTTCTAAGAAGAAATCATAGCAAGCTAAACTCACTTGTCGTGTGTGTATATATGTGTGTGCATGCACACACACAGTGCAGATAGAACCCAAAGCATCACAGATACTAGGCAAGCACTCTACCACTGAGCTACATCCCCAGCCCCTCATTTGTCTTTTAAAAGCATGAAAAAATGGTATATCAGGATTTCAGCAAAGAGCATGACAAAAACCTCATGATAAAATCATTGAAAAAAAAAAGTCTTAGTTGGGTTCTCCAAATTTCAAACATTCGCATAACGATGTAGGTGCAGGTGGTTTATTTGGGAAGTAATTCCAGGAAATCCTATAGAGACAGGAATTAAGACAGATTGAGAGTCACCATTATGGGCTACCAGCACTCAGTCCTCCTGGGGATCCTTCAAGACACTGAATGGAAACATCTCAGTTCTTCCACTGAGGGTGATGGAAGCTGGGATCATCACCCAACACTGTCTTTCCCTCTCTGGTTGGAGGTCAAACCTAAGGTATCACCAATTACCCCCTGAGAGTCCTTTCTACCCTTAAAGGTACCCCAGCTCTGCATAAGAAGACTCAGTTACTCTCTGGTGACAGATAACTCCTTCCTTGACCTGTGGTCTGCTGACCTGAAGAGCCCCAGACCAGCAGGAGACCAGGGTTGGTGTAGAACTAGTGAGTGGAAGTGGGCAGACCTTGGACAAGACAGCCCCTGCCAGTTTTCTTCCAAGAGGTGAGGGGAGGTCACTCTTCTCTAGCAAGGGGGAGGGAGCCACTTCTAAAAGACCCAAGAGTTCAGGGGAACATGGGTGTCAAGATCTTTGGGCCCAATGGGCTCATCTCATGTTTCAGAGTCCCCTTCTTTACCAAATAGGGAACTGACTTAAGAAAAAGAGACCTTCTAGACGTGAATTTTGTCCCCTTGGTAACAACATCACCCTTATCATACAATCTTAGGCCTGAGTCTCAGCACATTCCGATTCTGCAAGTAGGAGGTCTCTGAGTACTAGCATGGGGTCTTCCAGGTGTCAGGGCATCTCCTGAGGTGGTATCTGGCTAACCACAACCTGTCCTTCTCTTCGTCCTGACCCATGTCAGGTGAGGGTTTTGGCAATTGACCTGGCAGCATGGCTGGGTTGATCACCACCACACTTAGTATCAGCAGGGGTGTCCTGTGGTCATCTGTCCAGCTTCCAAGTCCAGAACCTCTTCATGGAGACTGCTTTCTAGGGTCACCGCTGGCACTGTGTGAGTCGGGCTTCTCCCAGATCCCTGAGACAGGGATTGGTGGAAGTCATTTACTTGGGAGGTGAGCCCAGGAAGTAGGGTGAGGGGGTGGGACTGGGGAGGCGGGAAAGGGGATAAAAAGAATGTGGAAATGAGCAGGTCACCCCTGAGGACCACCATGCCCAAACCCACGGAGGAGTGAGGAGGCTGGGGATGTTTCTCCCAGCCCCTTGTTCATCAGGATGAGGGTTGTCACCAGGTGTGTCAATCCCTAGCTCTATTTGGGCCTAGGTGAAACAGGTTCCTATGGCCAAGAAAGATCTCCAGGTGAAGAGACACAGAGAACCTCCCTCAGGCCACCCCCCAGGAGAGGATGAGGGTGTGTGGGTGGTTCACCATGAACTGAGCCAAGAGAAGAGCAAGTGCACGGGTGGATATTTGCCTGCTTTCAATACTCACTCATTAGAAG